CAACTAATATAGTAACCTAGCTTTTCTTTTAATTCTCACCCGCCATCTTTAAGGCTCTCACGTCCTTAAGCCATACCCCGTATCTTTCTATGGCCGAAACCCGATTTTGAAATCAGAGACTGCAAGATGAGACTTTTAACAGAAGGAAATAAATAAAAGCAATTCTTTTCGGTGACAAATCCGTCAAACCAAATCAATGAACAGTATAACTTCAATCATATCCAAAGAAGGAACTTCACCCATAGTGCTTTCGTAGTTTCTAGGATGTTTTAACTCTCTAATTTTTACCGCAAGCCTTGTAGCACATTTGTCTCGCCAGATTAGTCATGCTTGCCGAACACCTTATGAATTCAAAGATACTGTTGTCAATGACCTACCTGAATTATGCGCGGCTGAGACCAAAACAAACTTCTCGTGGTCAAAACACTACCGAGACGAAACTCTCTGAACTAAAGATGCAACTACCCGTTGGGACATATGAATGGTAAATAATTAAACAAGAACAAAAGGCCACAAGCAAATTCCTCAGGGATCAGTAAGTTTTGTCGAAGTTCATTGCATCGAAAGCAGGTCGGATATCACGATTTGATTACTTCCTTGAGTTCTGCAACGAGGGTAACCTTCGTAAAAGTCTTTAATCTGGATTGCAATAACAGGTAGACATCAGATATAGTTGTTTTTTCGAAGTAGAATATCATTTTCACACCTTACCTGAGGTTGAAGTTATGTTGTGACGCCATGGTCATGCGATGAAAGTAATGAAAAGGAATTGTAATGTCAATTATCGTAAACAATGACTTTCGAACATCTAATTTACTGCCACCAGCAGTTCAAAGAGCGAGAGGACTCCTGCTGGTGATAAACTTTCTCTATTAAAGTAGAGCGGCGGTCGTTTTTGGATAAACCTATTATTTTATTCATTTTTTTAAATTTTTTTTTTTTTTTTTCAATTCTTGATTTTGAAAACAGATGACAATTTACAGAGTTGAAAATTGCCCAAACCATGATTGCACGACAAGATATGAAATGAAGCTAACCTACTCCATATACACCCACATGAAAAGCCTCACCCTATCACAATGAGTTAAAATGTGGCTGGAACTTAGGAATTCGACCTTTCAAGCGCAGTTTTATGTGGAATATTTCGCCAATTTTTCCAGTGAAATAGTCTACTCTCAAACATTAACGATCTTTTATGGACAATGATTGCGGGCTCACTACCCAGTAATTCGTTAATATTCGATATAATTTAAAACTTGCTTTGACTAAAAGAAAACATTTTTTGTCGCCTGATGAATAAAATCGGTGGCCCGGTATTTCTCTCGGAAAACTATAACGGCTGATAACGGTGATCTTTAATCCCACTCGCGCTATCAATGAGCGGCATACCATGGCTGACTTTTTGTTGCGATGAGTATTTTTCAGTACTCGAGATTGTTCGGAAATCGGATTTTTTCGGAATATTCGGGAGGTCAGAACGTCATAACTTGCCCTTCTAAAATCTGTTAGTTGGCCGGTTGTAAAGTATTTCTAAAAAAGTTTTTCTGGAATGTTCGATCATTTCAGCCTGCCTAGGATCGACAGTTGAACCATTTTCTTTTTTCAAATTTTACTGCCGGTTATAAGAAACAACAAGCATGGCGAATCTGTAAACTCGCAATCTTAAACACGAACTACGCATGCGTACATTGGGTCAGACCAATTTGTACTTAAAACTCGCACAAGAATCACAATGTGTGAAAATCAAACCTAGTTGTTTTGAAATGTTGAGATTCATACTTGGGATAATATTACAATTTAATAATTCTTAGTCTGCGACAAACTAAGCTTTGTGCAGAATATAATATTTAATATTGTCTTTAACTTCTCCAGAGCGACACTTCTCACAAGACGGACACCTAATACTTTACTAGTATGATGCATTTTTAATGCTACTAACGGTTCCATTTTCTTTTAACTTCTTGTTGAAAAGTGTACTTGTTATAATATACTTTCCTATATTTATGTTTCTATTTTTGTATATATTCTATTATTGTGTAATCTATGTTTGGTAATAGCTTCAGGGCACCTATTGATAACATAGGTGTTTTGTAAGCTTCCGGAAGGGATTACCCTGAAATTTTTACCATTAGATTTTAACTTTTAAATAAAGGCGTCTAAGTTAACTCAGTTTTAACTGAACATTCATAATATGAACTCTTAATTCGCATTCCTTTTTCGTTTTTCGTTCAGTTTTTCTTCTCACTGGATCAGTGTCTAAAATGACGAGGTACAATTAAACTCTCAGAAATGGTTTAGAAACCCGGGCAAAAAGCTGCTAATTCAGAAGATGCAAAGCCT